GGTTTGGGCAGATTTGGCTAGGAAGCGGTCACTATAAAAGGCCTTTCCTAAGATATTTGGTGAAAAAACAAACACATTTTTGGTATGAAAATGTTTAGGAGGTCATTTTATTTTGTATTGCATAAGAATTAAACTAAAAATTATGTATGTATAATGTAAATATTCTTGAATGTTTTTGCATAGCGGATCATTGGATGGGCTTTGGGTGAAGAGATATGGAGAGATCAAATTTCCATGATGTCTGGTGTTGGGGATGGACCAGACAGCCAGACATGTTCAGACATGTCCAGACAACTGTCGGCATACGTCGGCGTGAACTCATGAAAAAAGAGGCTCATCGCGCAGATGTGCGCAGACACGTTTGGATCCAGTATTGTTTTTTTAGTGAACACGGGTTTCCCAACATCTTATACCCATTCATTTGGATGTTCATTTTATAGAGGCCTCTTCTTTCTGCTTCATGGATGTTGTGCCTGTCATTTCATAGGGCATGTTCTTCCACTGCTCCTTAGCCACACCTGGATCTGGCTTGGCATTATATATATATATATAAACACATGCATATATATATATATATATATCCCTAAGGATCCTTGGACCCTCCTTAGAAGGGGTCGAACCCTCTATAACAAGGTTTGGGCCCCCTCAAAACCCTTGCTTTTGAGTGTGCGGATCCTTAGGGATATATATATATATAAACACCTAACTTTGCCTGTCATTTTCTAGCACCCACTGGGCCACCCACGGGGGGTCCCTTGATTGTTCGGCGCCGCCCTCAGGAGAACGGCCGGCACGGTCTCGGGTCTGCGGACGCGTCCGCGTCGTCCTCCACCACGGCCACGGCTGGCAGCCACCGCCAGCCAGAGATGGAACCGTGGACGAGGCCGGAGATCGGGTCCCTAGGGCATCAGTCGTACCGAACCTGAGAAGGTGGGACTGGGATTGGTGTAGAAGGGTCGGGAAAATAGCGAAGCTGAGGAGGTAGCGTGAACGGGAGAAGATGCGAGCGACGAGTTCGCGGGGGGCCCAGGCACCGGCTAAATGTAGGCCTCTATCGGCCCGCCTAGGCTTCCAACCGACTAACCTGAGCTGCTGTACTAAGGGTTTTATAGTACAACACCAGGTCCACCATTTTTTGAATGGTCGGACAGACTTCTAGGACTAACAGACTCCTGGCAGCAGTTGTTTCGAGTGGAAAGGCATTAGGTTCGGATCCTGCTTTTAGGGGTCCGCATGCCATGCGCAGAGTCGTTGAATTCGAAGGCAAACCAACCCGGGTAGCTTCATGGGCAGCTGTACGGCGGGTGACCCTTCGCCGAGAATCGCAGCCTGAGATACAAGATCCCAAAGTAGCGGGGTTTGCTCAAAGTCTGGACCTGTGAGCACCTTCATTTCAACCTTGATATACCCTGAAAGTTAAAAGACTATACTGAGTAAAGGACATTTCCATTTTTTGGGATCCTTTAAAAGACCATTATGTTCAAAGCCTTTGACTACTACTATACCTATAGATCTTCCACATGGTGGATGTCCTTTTTTTTCCGGGTCAACAGGCTGGTTTGGTTCGATTCAAAGGCCATTGGGATGTCCCTGGCATCCCAACAGCCATTCGTGGACCCGTCACAAGGAGGGCAGAAATCCATCAAAAAGGGATCAACATGTATCAACTCCTTTTGGACATCGCCAGTGTGCGTGACATCGCCAGAGCTTGCTTTGGAAAAGAGTTTTCTCCTATACAACCCCACTTGCCAGGTGAGGGTTGTTGGATTTTATCAGAGCTCTTCTACTACAAGTACGAGATCACAGTGGGCACTAGCGGACCTCAACAGCAAGTGCCAAAACGCAGTGGGCACTACCGGACCTCAACAGCAAGTGCCAGATCGCAGTGGGCACTACATGGCACTGCCGGACTTCAACAGCAACGTATTTCTATCAACCGAGGTTGCAAAACATGACGGTGTTACCTCAAAAGCAGCTGTCAAAAATCTGCAAAGATTGAAAGTTTTACAGATAAAAGCGGTGTAGTACGTATATATTAAGATTAACTAATTAAGTATACTCTTCACCAAGAGACTGTTTTCAACACGCTTTCCAAACAGGCTCGTTTGGGACTTCTGCAGGATTTTTGATGATGCAATACCGCGGCTCATGTCAAGGACATTGGAGCTGCAAAGGTCTTCACTTCGTCTATACTTATATACATGTGCTGCGAGGGTCTGCAAGGTGCGATTTTGTTATGTGTTGCTGTTGCTTCATGGGCTTGAAATTCAGCAAGTAGTAGGCTATTGTGTTTAATTGCAATTATGCTGCGTTATGACAGACTGTGATTCGGACGAGGTTTTTACATACTTTGCCAAACATAGGTAAACAAAGATACAACTCTATCAGGGAAACATCCAGTTGCGCCCCTTGTGCGACCCTAGCAGAGGGGGGCCATCCGGTCAGAGAGGTCAGGTTGGCTTGGAAGGTCGAATTCATGACGGACCAAGATCGTACAACTGCGCAAGAGTTCTTCCGAACTTGGTGGATGACGGATGAAGAGGGAAACAAAGGCGTTTGAAGATCGCAGACATGTTTGCAGGTACTTGGGGGCCGTTTTTTTTCAACAGCTATCATCATCAGGTATCCATGACCTTTCCGATCGTTTTCGAGTCATAAAGGGTGTTCTTTTAGGGGTGGATTGGTAAGTTGGAATTTGTTGGATTGGTGGACTTTTTCTCAAGTCACACATTTTGCATGTGTCATAATAATGTCATGTTCCACTGATTTCGTCGGACGTTGGGTAGCAGCTGGTGCTGGTTGTCGATGTTTGATGTGCAAACTGCGCTTGTTTTCCAAACTGCGCTCCTGGTTCCTGAGCTGTGGCGGCCGAGCAGGTGCAGACCTTGGGGCTAAGTGAGGTGATGCGGGTGAGACTTTAATCCAATGGGGTGTCCAACCCAAAGCACAGAGGGTGTCGTATTGATGTCAGGGGTCCACCCTGCTTCTTCAAGAGATGTTTTTTCTCTCGGTCACTCTGTTTGGCGTCGGTCATTGAGCTGATCAAGCTGAGACTTTGTATGCACCTCCTACTCAAGACCCTAGAAGTCCAAGGAGTCCAAGACTATGTTTAGATATGTTTAGAATGTTTTGACAAATGGTGACCTGATTTCAGGCAATGTTTGTTCTTTCGGTGGTGTCTAAAAATGTCGGGACTTCTATAGGGAAGACTTTAAGCTGCTTCTGCTTCCTGGCAAGACTCTTGGATCGCTCAGCGCTGAGCGATTTCGAGAGATGGGTCCTGAAGAAGTATAGTCATTACTACCCATAGGGTCCAGGTACCTCCTCAGGATGGTCTTGGAGGTGAAAGTACTTCCAGAGAATGGTCGAACGGGGGGTCAAAGGACATCCGATTCGGATGGTCCTGGACCCTTAGGGGCCCCATTGACTGCATATGATCGACATTGATCGACCATTTGATTCCACGATTCAGCCAGAAGCATCGCTGGGCTGTCCAGCGCCCCAGAAGCATCAACCGATTTCAACCTTTTCTGTCGACGGGTCAGTGAAGAGGACCGAACGGGTCTGACGTGACGTGCCCGAATCAGACCATGTCTGTTGACTGACCTGGAGCGCTTTTGAGCGCAAACTTGACCTGACCTGGAGCGCTTTTGACGTTCAGTTGATGGTATTTCGAAGATGTTCAAACAGGTTGGTCCACTTTGCTGAACCCTTTGCCGTAACTAACGAACGCGCGAATTGAATGGCTGGAATGGGAGCTTTGACTGATCATAGACCAGTGAGAAACCAACTATATGAAGAATGTCTGCCGAACCTAGCTGAAGAGGCTTTCGGAAGATCCAAGTCTCAGAACCCAAAAGGGATCTGCACCCTCGTTCGTTCGGTACGACTGGACCTCTTCGTCAGGTACGTCCAATCGCCCAACAAGAGGGGGTGGCAGTAGATCCGGGAAGAACTGTAGAACAACTTGTGCAGAACAAGTCTTCCTACTTCTCTGGTGTTGCTTCGTAATGGGATCTTTTTCCGGTCCGACTCGGCGACTCCGGGCTTCCTGGGAGCCGCAGAAACCAGCTGATTTGGTCGGAAGACTTAGTGTTCAAGGTGATTGGTTGGCCTTATCCTGCATATCGATTCCGGTGCCATTCAAGATGCGTGGCTCGAATACATGATGTTCAATAGATTGACCGATTCAGGTGTGTCTCAAAATGGCCCCATGCCAGAGATTCAGAGACCCCAACATAGGAGAAGAAATCGATTTCGGGAACACGAACCATGAAAACGGAGGTGGAAGATAGTGGAACTTGCTCTGGAAAGTGAGGGCCTACATTTTGAGATCAATTGCTGTGCAAGCGACCTGCTCGTTCGCTGCGCACTTGTTTCTTCATCGTTCGACCGCATTTCGTGGCCAGTTCGAATTGACATCGGCTTTCACAAGCTGAATGGAACACGTGGCGGGTTTCAACTAGGGGTGGCCAACGAATTGACGCATGTTCCATTTCAGACACACAAAAAGATGCATGGAAAAGCGACAAAAAAAAGTGGTCATCATGAGTCATAATGAATGCAAATGAAAGCAATTTTGTTGAGTGTTCAATCCCTGTGATTTCCACCCCTGGTTCCTTCAGATTGTTCTGATGTTGTGGCCCGGTGGATGCAACCATATGCAACCGCCGGCTTCAGCAATGTGGATGGAATGGAAACACATTGTTTGTTAGTGTGATTTGGTTGGTGGAGTAACGGCTTTAAAAAAACGGTCAGATCTGATCTTCCGATTTTGTTGCATCTATTCTTCGAAGATCGTCTTGGTTTTCAGAGTTTGGTACATCAGGCGCAGAGGATTTGACGTCTTCCATCATCTTTCCCTAGGGATCCAAGTACCTGCTCAGAAGGTATTTGGACCCTCTAAACCCACCCCAGTCCCACCTTCTTGGAAGGTACGACTGGAGCCCTAGGGTTTCCCTTCCATCCAATCGACTTGTGGCCCGAATTCCACCCGAAACGTTCCGCGGGTGGACGAAAACCGCCGGCCGATCGATCGCGTGGTCTACCGCCGGCTTGCAGCGGGCGAGGGCCCGCGCCGAAGCGGCCGAAGCTCGTCTCGTTTCGGTGGGACGACCGGGGCCCGGGTGGAGGGTCCAGTCAGACCGAACCTGAGGAGGTGTGACTGGAAGTGTAGGGAAGCGAACTCCCGAAATCCATGCCCCCCGGGTGCTCCCCCCCGTTCAGTATAGGGAGGCCCAGTGAAGTCGGTGGCTGAGCCATGGGAGCGTCGGTCAGCCAGTGCGGGTGCCAGGTGTGAAAGCGAGTTCGACACGACAGGGTGAACCGACATAAACCGATCACCTGCCCATAAGCTCCTATAGTAGCGGTCCTATCCCAAACGCTCCATGGGACTGCCGCCCCATTGACCCCCCTGGCACCACCCCTGATCCAGTCCTATGGCAGTCCCATGGAGTGTATGGGTATTGTTCCTTATAGTAGCGTCCTTTCTCGCTCCGTTCGCTCCGGCCGTCCGGGGCCTCGCGTCCGATCACTCCCTTCGAACCGGCCGTTCAAGGGTCTGGCTTCTCCCAAAACTGGTCCGTCCCCTCCAGTGGACAGATATGGCGGTACTTTCCGGATTGAGAGTAGAGGGCACAATCTCCAACGGTCAGTGGTTGATATAGGTTTATGAACTAACCCAGTGAACTAACCCCACTCCCTCTTTTGAAGACATCTTGCGGAGGGGTGCCACTGTATGTGTGTTTTTTGTGGCAGATGGTCCTACTGTTTCTTTTTGTGCTTGGTTTGTGTGTCCTTTTCATATGTTCAATCCTTTCATTGCCATGACCAATCGGAGCATCTGTTTCAATCGGAGCACCAGAACATCAAACGGAGCGATTTTCAGGGGCCGGTGTGGGTTCGGTTCTTCGAAAGGACGTCTGCGAGCAGCAGAACACACACACACAGGAAAAGTGGAGAACCTGCCCAAGCTTTTCTGGGGACACCCTAGCAAATATGAACACCCTAAGGATCCGCACCCTCAAAAACAAGGGTTTTGAGGGGCCCCAAACCCTTGTTATAGAGGGTTCGACCCCTTCTAAGCAGGGTCCAAGGATCCTTAGGGCAGATGAACAGTTTGGTTAACATCTGCCTCTGGAGTCAGCTCATGAAGAGTTGAAGGGTGCGCTACTCGATGTCCTGGTTTTAGCTTGTGTTGTCCTTGACCTCGAGAGTGGAGACAGGCACCGTTTTTCTTTGTTCAGGTGGAAGCGGTTAGTCTGGCAGTGAGGAGGCTGGGGAGGCTGGTGCTGGAAGAGTGTCTTCCAGCACCAGCCAGTTTGGGTGGTGATTGGATGAATATATACATGGTCGTCAGGGGGTCTGTAAACCACCCGAACTGGGTGGTGCCGCTTGAAAGTGTTTGTTCTTGCAAGCACGTCTTTCTCAGACACCACTTCACCATACTTCACCCGTTCGCAGTCGCTTAAATTGGGCTCAACCCTCAAAGCGTCAGACATCTCAGATGCTGAGAGGACCTCGGGCTCGACCCGTGCGAGGTCAGGACTGTGAGGTGAAAAACGTTTCGAAGGACCCGAAGCAGACAGAGATACAAGGAACATCAAGGAACCAGGCGGACCAGCGGAGGTAGTCCCTCAGGGTGCCTTTGAAGAGGGCAAAAATGGAGACGACCTGGTTTTTAACCACCGTGAGGACAGTTCTCTGAAGCCAAATGAAGACATCTGAAACACCTGAAACAAATCAGCTAGGAAATGAAACAGGTCACACCATGGTTTGCCCTGGTCTGAAATATCATGAAATTTATATACCAGGGTCATCCAATGGGTGTCCAATAGACTACCCCACCCTACTTACAGGTCTCCATTGGGCACCCGTTGGAAGTGCTAGGTACTTGTTTTACGAAGTCTGACTTGTTTTTCTCCAAAAACTCAGCGAAGACAGAATGGATCGTTCAGACCTTTGCCGCTTGACGGATAGGCCAGGCTCGGATGGTTTGAGCGGTCAACGGAGCAGTGCTTTGAGCCGAGCCGCAGAGTACTGACGGATGGATCCTGACGCAGTATGGCATGGCAAGCGTTTTCTGGCGTGGGCGCCAAGAAGGATGGATCCTTGCACAAACCCAGGAGGAAAAGTGGAGAACCTGCCGGAACTGCACCATGTTTGGGGATTGGGGACAGTTGAGCAGATATGAACAGAAAGTTCGGTTCACTCTGTGCAGGGAAGCTGAGGAGTGTGTATCACACTCCATAAGATCTCCATATATCTGGACTGGAAGATTTAGACTACATTGCTCAGACGGTCAATCACCCTCGGGTTGATCAGTTGGTCCGTCCTCACGATCGGACGGAAAGACGACGCGTTGGAGGACACCTGGGAAGGACCCTGCGGTGTCGTGTAAAAAAAATCCTTAAAACAATACCCAGACACGACCCATGGGACGGCCATATCTATGGGTGAATGGGGCGGCAGTCCTATGGCAGTCCCATGGGTTGTGTCTGGGAATGGTTCTTTGGTCACTCTCTTGCGGTGGCTCGCGTCGAATGATGGCGGTTTCCAGAATGGTTCGAACCAGAAAAGAGAGCCTTGGCCACGAATCCTAGGGTGACATGTCTGTCCTCTCCAGTGCCAACTGTGATGTTTTCGCTCAAACAGCTCGGATGGGGAGTCCCGAATCCCCTGGATGGGAAGTCCAGGCACTACCGAAGTGAACGAACTTCGAAGATCTAAAGACGGAGATGGACTCTCAGGGCTTAAGTTGTCAGGGACTCATGCTATTGTTGGTGTCAGGGACTCTGGGCCACTCACTTTTGGCCGGATGGGCCCACCATTTTGGGTTGGTGCCGCCACGGGGCGGGGGCCGCCACGGGGCACTCGAGGCTGTTCTGCTTGGTCTCTTCCGAAACGCCACCTTCAGAGGGTGCGAAGGAGCGGCTGAGAGGACTGTGGAGTTGAGAGGACTCCCCATACAGCTCGCCCAGTTCGACGATCTTTGGCACCACCCAATGTTACTGTAAGTAAAGGACGTTCTTTGATTTGGGACGACTTAAAGACAGTTTCAAGCATGGATGGGAGAAGAACCTTCGTCGGTATCCAATTTTCAGA